TGCTCGTGGCTGGTTGGTCTGGTGGGGGAGGGGGGTCCGGCAAAGCCGCTGGCGGCTTTGCTCAGGTGTCCCTGGTCTGGTGGGGGGGTCCAGCAGCTTTTCTGGACCCCCCCAGCAGATCAGGGGGACAGGAGCAAAGCCGCCCAGGGGGCGGGGTTCCCGGGCAAACGAGCAAAGCCGCCCAGGCGGCAGCTTTGCTCGGGTGTCCCTGGTCTGCTGGGGGGGGTCCAGCGGCTTTGCTGGACCCTCCCAGCAGACCAGGGAGACCGAGAGAAGCTTTTCTCACCCCGGAGGGCACGGGCGGCGACCCGCCGCCCGTGAGCTCTGGGGCGAGAAAAGCCCTGTTCGTAAGTGCGGATCCGACAAAGTCAGATCCGCGTAAGTCGGGGACTGCCTGTATTTTTAGACTGTTACAGTGAAAATATATAATTTTTATAGGGAAAATATATAATTTTTATAGGCAATGCTGATGTATCTGGACTTTCTATTCTAAGACCATGTCTACAATAGCTTATAACTTTACCAAGATCTAACGGTTCATGCTAGAAAACTAAAATAATTGATTTGGCTGTTTATCACAAATGAGGTTGGGGAGGGGAGGAAGGAGGGAATAATGTGGTTTTGTCCATGTTAAAAAAAAAATTCTGTAGGCAGTTTTGTTCAACATAGTTCCAAGTGCCTCAGCTATTAATCAAGAACTTGAAATTTGGCAGGGATGTCACCCTGGATTCAGAAATGCCACTGGCTGTTCCGGTAAAAATTCACCACATTTGGCTGAGTTATGAGCCTCTATCAGTCCCTGCTTACGTTTGCTCAATGCAGACATAAGAGTTTGGCAGCTAAATTTTTCTGAAGATTTCCTCTCCCCTGGGCATGTACCAGCTGAGCAAAACTCCCTACAATTGCTTCTCCCAGGGGCCAGCAAGTGCTATGGCATGGTGCCAGGCACAGCTTCTCCTGTCATCTCAGTGCTTCCCACCCCTCAACACTAACTGGTTCTCAGGCAATGAGAAGGAGTAAGAAGCGTGGAATGTTGAGGTTTGGGAGCCTCAGCTGGAGGGTGGTAGTAAGGTGCAATCCTAGAATTGAGTAGCTCAGGGCTGTGGAGAACTGGGCTGAGGAGCTCTTGAGGCAGAAGATGTGAAAGAGGAAGGGAGGGATAAAGAGAAGAAAGGCTGTAATCATTAGAGACCCCTCAGCGACTGCATTAGAACTCAGGATTCCTGAACCTCAACATTCCTCCGCTGGTCACCTAATATGAAACTGCTGGCGAAGTATGGACCTCCTCTCTCTCTGGTAGCAAGGATGACAGCCTACTACAGCTCATATACACTGTTAGCTCAAGTGGCAGAGCTCTATACTGTAGTATGTAGGCCTACCAACCGCGGGAGGGCAAAGGAGACAGCTGCCCTGGGGCCTGGCTATTCAAAAGAGCCAGGGATCATGGTGGCTGAACAGCGCTGAGGGGGAGGGATGCAGCGTGGTCGAGGTGGCGCTGAGGGCTGGCTGTCCCTCTTGGGGAAGCGTGGAACCCTCCTCCCCTTGCTCAGGGGTCTGGCAAATCTCTTGGCCTCCCTGGGGATATGGACCTAAAGTTTCTCTGCTGGTGACCCATAGATTTGAAGGCAAGAAAGAACCATTATGCTCAACTAATTGGACCAGCATAGCACAGGCTATAGATTTTAACTACCAGTAGATAGGAATCCGTTTAGTGACACACCATGGAATTTCTGGTTTTTTCAGGTTGCTTTTCTTAAAAAGCTAGGAAATTGTATACCAAAAAATCTTACATTGAAATAATGGTAAGGTTAATATCAGGCACTCAAAAACTTAGGAATGCCAAAATGCAGGTTTCAATTTTCGCCCAACAGCACACACTTTGTGATCCAGTCTTTAATAACATGATCCCATACTATTTTTTCCAAAGAGCCTCTTCCTCGTTCAATGCACAGGATGGACAGTGCTCTGAATTAATTAGCTACACTAGTGCCAGCAAAACTTCTGCATCATTTGCTGCTGAAGTTGGAAGGTCTGTGGTAAAGAAAATTAACAGAAGAGAAAAGATGGTCTCATGGTTCAGGGAGATGAATGTCACTCTTGATGAAGAATGTCACTCTTGATGACTGATTTTTCTTGCCCCCCAGAATGCCTACATGCTTTAAGCAAGTCACCTAAACCAGATTTTCATAGTTTACCACTAGCTATGTGTTCCTCATTTTTCATGTGCTAAGCTAAGATTTGGGGTCTGATTAGCAGAAGTGCTGAGCAGTCACAATTGCAACTGACGTCAGTGGAAGCTGTGCATTCAACAGATAACGTTCTGTTATACCACAGTTTCTCTAAAATGCAGGACTTAGGGTACGTCTAGACTACATGCCTCTGTCGCCAGAGGCATGTAGATTAGGCTACCCGACAGAGTAAAATGAAGCGGCGATTTAAATAATCGCCGCTTCATTTAAATTTACATGGCTGCCGCTT